AAAAAAACAACCCAGAAATCTCCAGAAGATGATCTATACCATCACAGTATTTTGTTTTAAAGAAGTGAGATGAATCTCTGGGTGTATTCAGCTCCCTCAATTTTCTATAAGGAGGTCATCAAGGATGGACATAGAGGAGACATCTGGTCTGTGAGGGCTAAAGCTGGGTGGTTTAAATCCCCCCAAAAGACCTGTAGGATGTGATCTGCTTCTGTTTTTGTGAATATGGTGGCAAACAGGCACGGGGTTCCAGTGAAAGGAGCACCATAGCTTTCCCCATCAGAACTGCCCTACCTTAATTACATCCTATAGGACAACTGGGAATGGTTTTAAACTAAAAAAAGGGGAGATTTAGATTAGAAGTCAGGAGGAAGTTTTTCACAGAGAGGGTGGTGAGGTGTTGATGCATGTTGTGGATGCCCCATCCCTGGAAGTGCTCAAGGCCAAGACGGATGGGGGGCAACTCTACCCATGGCAGGGGATTGGAACTGGATGTTCTTAAAGTCCCTTCCAACCCAAACCATTCTATGGTTCCCTGCCCCAGAGATGCTCAGCTGAGAAATGGGTTCGTGGCTGTTTAAGTGTACGTGTTCTATTCTGAACTGGATTGTCACTGCAGAAAGTGGGCATGGGTTTGAGGTTTGGCACCAGCTCAAGTGGCATCTCTTCTTTCAAAACACACAGCTTCTGTCCTACAAGGGAATATATATATATTTCTTCCTGACCTCTTTCCAGCTCTGTTTCAGCCCATGATATGGCATGGCATCCCATCAAAACTGGGGCTGTGGAATGGTTGGAGAAATACCCAAACGCAAGTTAAAATTAATGCTTTTTTTTTTTCTTTTTTTTTTTTTTAATTTTCATTATAAAGTTAACACATCTATCAAACTTAACTGGTAACAAAAGAACAGTTACAAGACATCTCTAGTGTGCTGTCAGTAGAAAAGAGGGTATTGGAAAAACTGGAAAAGCCAATGAGGTGACAAGCACAACAGCAGAGCAACAACACTGTCCCGATGAGTTATTTCCGCAAATATATACTCTTACTAATATATACATTTATTCATAAAATAAATAATCATAAAAAAAAAAAAAATCATCAGACTTAACAAAATACTGAGGAAAAAAGTGACGATCCTACTTTGTACAATAGCTTTGGAATTTCAGGTTTTATCATACATGCATTCTGTACAAAGGGGTACTCAGTGGGGTGGGGGCAGGGGCAGGCTAGGGAAGGGTTACAGACAGTGACGTAGCTCTGAACAGGGTGATGTGATCAGGCAGACAGTCTGTGGGAAGGGAAAGTAACAGCAAAAAACCCACCCACAAGAAGATACTTGTCCTTGACTTCTGGATAAGTATGTTTCATACCATGGGGAAATCCCCTGTGGTGCTACAGAGCTGTGTTGCATGCCTTTGACAATGCTGGTGGGCTCGTCAGATAGTCCAAAGCAATGAGAGGTCTCCTGTTTGGGCAGATTTTGGCTGAGGAGTGACTGAAAGTGATGCCACAATAGAGACATCTTCACTGAGATGAAGAGGTGTAAGGCTGAGCTGCAGTCAGTGGGGGACAGGTGGGCAGTGGGACAACCAGGTCTGGAGGAATGAGCATCAATGGAATGGAGGTTCCGCTGGGGAGGATTTGGGAGGTTTTAGGAGCCTGCCTTGGGAACTTGGGCTTCCTGTGGTTAGCAAGTGATGGCAAGTGCATGTTGGGAGGAAGCAT